CTCCCCCCCCCCCTCAGACCCTCTCAAGACATAATTTTTTTAAAACATAATACAGTTTCAAATCCACCATTTCTTAATAACTGATCCATTCCCTTATTACGTAAGAATCAACAGGGTGTATGTTAGAAATAGATTCTGGTGTTCACCGCAGGCTTAGTGAACAAAAATTTCAGGATCTGGTTCTGATTTTTGCACAGGTTAAAGTTGGATAATCACTGCTAAAATCCATAGAAATTTCCATTTTATTCCTAATGGTCCTCTTTTAATCTCTACTCTCTTCCTTGCCTAGCTTAGATTCCATTGTTCATCACTTCAGCCAAAATATTTTTGCTGCTTTGAATTATTGCCCCATTGTTCTGACTGACTTACCTGGTTAAAGAAAAAATAAATAACCCTGAGGCTGAAGTTCCATCCCTGCACCTGGGATGTTGAGCATTACTGAGAAAAATTGCACAATTAGGCAAGTTCTAGCAATCATGAGTTCATGTCATTAACCTAAACTACACATAATTCTGTGCTTTTGCTCTCCCAATGAGTTTCCTTTACCTATTACCACAGCAGCAACTCCTGATATTCTCCCATTCTTCATAATTTAAAAAAAAAAAACAAGAACAACTAACCTCCCTGTCCTCCTACCTCAAAGCCTACTATCAGCAGCACAATTAAATCATAGCAGATAACCTCATCTGGGTTGGGGGGAAACAGGAAACAGCAAAAACAAACTACACAGCAGCACTTCATCATGGGATCCAATCAGTAACCCCGATTCACCTGCATCAGCACTCAGCCTTTGATCTTTCCCTCCAGTTGTAAAGGTTATCCCTTAGCCTATCTGGGACAGACAGGTTGAGGGTAGTAGCAGAGTGGGGAAGACTTGGTTAAAAATTGCCAGGCCCTGATGTCAAGAAGGAGTCAGTCTCAGAACCCCAGAAACCAACTATTGCATAACAATACAAATCCCATGGAAAATTTTTAGCCTGTCCACCCTTGCTGAAGACTTGAGGAAATTTTTACCAGGCTTTAAGATTCCATTCTGCAGCCCTGGACTTGTTCAGTGTTAATCCCACCACCTGTGTTCTGGATTCCATTTCTTCTCACACACTCAAAACTGATTCAATTCATTCTCTTATATCCTCATCTTCTGCTGACTCCCACAGAAGAGGGGTATCTTCATATGGCTCCCATCTTAGAAAATCCTTTTCAGAAAGTCTATTGACTGCCCTATTATTTCTTCCTCTCTGGGGATGAATTCCTTCCTTCTTTCTTCTCTTTTTACTCCTTCCCTCTCTCCCTCTCTTCCTCTTCCACAAGTAGTCATGAACTCCTGTGTGCCAGGCAAATAAACAAAAAATCCCTGCCCTCTAAGCCTTTCCATCTATCCAGAGGAAGGAGACTGACTAAATCATGAGCAAAATGAAATATATTGTATGTGAATTTATGCAAAATAAATTATATGAAGAAATGAAATAGAGCAGGATAGGAAAAATGAGAGGATTGAAGAAGGTAATTGCAATTTTACATAGTGTGTTCAGGTAGAGTTCACGTAGCAGACATGGAGGCAGACTTAAAGGAGAGGAAGAATGGAACGTGGTAGAGATCTTAAGATTATTCCAGGGAGAAGAAATAACCTGTACAATGGCTCTGCAACAGGACAGTACCTGCCATGTGTGAAGACTGCTTAACGTCTGGTTTGACTGGATGGATTAGCCAAGGGGGAGAGGAGTAGATATGAGGTCAGAGAAGTAACATAAGACCTCAGGATGATTGTAAGGATGATGGCTTAATCCAGAGAATCAGGGTGCCATTCCATTTTTTCAACATATAATGTTTATTGTGGCATTGTTTATGATTATTCCAAACTATATTCCAAACAGTCCTTCAACTATATAATATCTTGGGGTACATTAACACAGTAGAATATCATCTAGCAATGATATTAACAAACTATAGCTACAATAACAGGAATGAATTCCATCAACACTGTTTTCATGGGGTTTCTTCATGTTGCCTTCAAAGAATCAGCCCGAGTTCTCAGTAGACAAAGGGTTCAATAATACTAGAATCTAGTACTGTAATTATTGAAGCCTCTTATGTCAGCTCCAACCTCAGGTGTTTTAAAATTCCTGTTGGTCCACCAGGGTGAGGATTTCCATGATTTGAACTGACAAACTAAGACTGGCCCATGAGGAACTCCATATCTCAGTGATCAAAGTATTTGGCCCTGCAGTGTTTAAGTAACATATGCATTTGCCTCGTCTAGGCTGAAGTTTCCAGCCTCCTCTCTTACTGATAATTGAGTAACTCTTTTCAAACAGTGAAGCCAATCCTTTTCTTTCTTGCTGTTGAAATATAGTACTTGCAGTCTTCTTCAGGGTCTCAAGTTCTTGAGGTTCTTTTAAAAGGATATCTTTGGCTGCTGTGTTGAGATGTGTGTCTGTGAAAGTGAGTATGTAAATCTGACTTTGCTAAAGTCAGCAAAGGTTTAGGTATGGAGACTCATTGCAATAATTCTAGAAGGAGTGATGTTGGTGGCAAGGTAAGAAATGGTCAGATTCTGGATATATTTCCAAGGTAGAATCAACAGTATTTAGTAATAGAGTTTATAAGGAGCATGAGAGAAAGTGAAGAATTAAGAGTGAGTGCAGATTGTGGCCTCAGCATCTAGAAAACTTGGATGCATCACTGAAGCGAGGGCTCCAGGAGGCACAAGCTTGGGAGAAAAGCAGAAGGTCAGTTTTAAGTTTGAGTTGTTCATTCAACTTTCAGATGGAGATGATGAGTAGGCAGTTCAACAGTCAAGTGTTAAGTTTAGGAAATAGATTCCAGCTATGCAGATAGAAATTTGAGAGCCTCTGGCATACTGATGATATTTAAAGACATGGGCCTGAATGAGGTCACCAAATACCTGAGCATAGATAACAAGAGAACTGATAACTTAGCTCTGGATTTTTTTTTTTTTTTTTGAGAAGTTTTACTACAAAACAGAATAACTTTTGAAAGAGTTTGTCTAGTTTGATTATTTCACTTTCACATACACACATCTCACTTAATTCCCAACCCTCTGCAATCTGAATTCCACATCCAATATTGTTCTAAATTCTCTAACTATCTCCATGTTACTAGATTTAAAAGAGAATTCCCAGTCTTATCTGACTTTACCTCGATATTCTCTATCAGGGTCTAGGCTGGCCTTCTTAAACCCTATCTTTTCTTTTTCCTATAACACTACACACCCAGAACTGCCTTTCAACTCTCTGGCTGCTCTTCTCAACCTCCTTCTGTTCCTTAAATATTGGTATTGCAAACTAAATTGTGTTCTTTCTCATTAAATAACTTCATTTACTCTCTTTACACTAGTGATTTCCAAGTCTATCTCCAACCCAGTTCCTGGTATTAAATTCCAAATTCATGTATTCCACACTTCATTTGTTTTCTCTTTGTGAACCCTAAACAGGCAAACCAAATTCAGTCTGCTTTCCATATCTCAGTGAAGGATGCCACCAAGCCAGTAGTTCAAGCTGGAAAATGAGGAAATCACTCTTAACTTTCTTCAGATGTTTCTCCCTACATTCAAGCAAGTCTTCTGTGTGTTATCCTAAATATCTCTTAAATCCATCACTTCTCTCTGCCCCAACTGCCACCATTTTATTGCAGGTCAATGTCATGTCCTAACCAGTTTATTATTCTACTTCATAATGGGTGCTCCTGCTTCTCACCATGTGATCCATTAATTCCTTTTAAACCAAATGAACTTTTTAAAATGCACATGTGATCTTCATACATATTTAATGTATATATACATATGAATATATATATGCATATTAGTTAAAAATATTGATGTTGTAAATTACAAAAACCTAACTTAGATGGGTTTAAATCAAATGAAAATAAATTTTCTGTCTTAACATTTTAGGAATAGTCTAGTTTCAGTTACAGCTTGATCCAAGACTCAGATTATACTCTGTCCCCAAGCTCCATTCCACAGATGTATTTTATGTGTGTCAATATTATCTTCAGGTTTCCCTCTCTAAGATTCAACATGGCCAAAGAAGTTTCTATGCATCATGTGGTCATGCTACCAAATACAAAAAAAGACCCTTTCTCAGAAGCTTCCACAAATGACAAATTGTATGTTATTGACTTGTCCCTGAACTAAACACTGTCAACAAAGAGATTAGACATGCCAAGTGATTTAGGCCAATTCCAGTTCACTTCCACACCAATTACATTGGTTGAAATGAGGGA